AATCTGTTAAAAGTTCTAATTCTATTTTTGTATATTTTAACATTGCATCCCAACTTAAACCGGGTGCTGTGTAATAATGGACAGGGTCTAAATCATATGTATTAATACATAACTTTCTAAAGTTTTCAAATACATCGGATAAAAGTAAAACGTCTGTTTTTAAATATAGGTTTGAATAATCTAGCATATTACAACACCCAAAATGTTCCCAAACATCTTTAGCATGATTGTAATCATCATTTGAAATATGTGAATCTGTGAGTGAACTATAAAAACATTTTTGTTCAGGGAGCGATGTTAGACTTAAACTATCATAATTAGTCATAAGTTCATATGGATAAACACCTTTCCGTTTTAAACGAAAGAAATCTTCATCATTAGGGTAATTTCTACGTAATTCTTGAAATTGATCATTACTGAGATTTTTGGCCAATTCTTCTAATTTACACGATAAAAACTTAAATGAATCTAAGAATCTCAATATAATTTCGTGGTTATTCACTTTTAATTTTTTGGAAAAGGATATATATTTTTCTTTATTTTGAGGGATAACTTCGACTTCACCATCACAAAAGTTTAACGCGTGAACAATAAAATGAGCATCATAGTGACTAAGGTTGTGTAAAAATATTGGTATATAACTAGGTGTTCTGATCTTCGAACAACATGATTCATGAGCAACACCTATAAAACTACCAGTGTACCAATCAAAATCATAAAAATGTTTTGCCAACTCAGTTTCACAAATATGACAAATGGTTGCATTTGAAATTTGGTTTTTGTCTTCATTTGTTAGCGGAAGTGGTGGATATTTTTGAAGTCTATTTATTTCTTTTAGATTGTTAGATAAACTTTCCATAAACACTTGTGCACAGTTGGGTCCGCAATATGTTACATATTTTGATAATTTATCATCATATGAACATTTTATATAATATCCAAAACTATGTACTTCATGTTTCTGAATATTATGAGTGAAAGGTTTGGAAGGATCGTTAGAACATGATTCTATTGGTTTTAAAAATGCTTCAAAATCAGCATAAACTACGAATGGTATCTTTAACTTTTTTTCATAACTATCAAATTTAATTTTATCATTTGAAATAGGTTGACCAAACCAATTCTTTTTTTTTAAAGTTTCACTGTTTGGTAATACTGTACAAATGTGAGCACAATCGTATTGTTCATGGTTATTTAACCTTTCCTGAGATGGAAAACGAAGTAGACATGCTTCACAAATGTACATGATGTGACCGTCTTTTGAAATTTGTTTACTAACTAACCGCGATAAATTTTTTATATAGCAATAATGATTTTTTGTATCCTTGGAAAAAAATAATAAATTGATATGTCTATCTTTACGACACTTTGTTAAAAATAATGGACCTACTATAGAATTACGTCGTTTTTCTTTATTATATTCTAACCCAAAAACATTAATACTAATATCATTTAATTTCTCTACTTTTGCTATGTCAGAAATTTTAACCGGAAAGGAAATACCATCAAATTTAAGTTTATTTGCATGTTTAACGTACGATGATACCCGATCGGTGTGTTTGTTTATAGGATATAACGCCGAGAGTAACGCCCATTTAAAACAAAAATAATCCTTGTTTTTTACATTTATAACAGCCTTTTTTAATTTTATGTCACGAGGAAGATCTATGTATGAAGTACCGCGTAGGGGGTTAAATTTATTAACATTCATGTCTATAGATTTTATGTTTTTTAGACTCCATCCACTATCTTTTTTTTCGAAAGCACTAATTTTAGTAGTAATTGTATCATTTAAAGATGAAAGAAAAATATTTAAGTCATCTCCTTGACAAATAATATAGTTAAGCGTTTGAAAATCGAACGTATCATGAATATCTTTAGTTTGTTGAACAAAATCAGCATGCAATATGAAGTTTACCTTAAAAATTATGTGTTGATGAATACACTCTTGTAATAAAAATAAAATATCATCTTTAATAGAATTTAAAAATAGTTCAGGAGTTTCAAAATTTACCCATGTCGAACGATCTACTCTACTCTTGATTTTATAAGTTAAAATCCTATTTCCAAAAGCAGATTCAATAACACTAACGTTTGATAAAGAATTATGTGAATTTAAAAGATTATTTTTATGAACATTACTTTTAAAATGATTAGCTAAATACCGTTTCTTGATAAATATATGGCACGTTGGACATTCCACTTGATCATCGTTACTGATACTGTTCCCTGCAGAGGTATGCGCTTCTGCTTCCGTTGTTGGTTTTTTGATGATCTTGGATTCTTTGCTGCACGTTCGCTTCGTTCCTCTTCCAAGTTGTAGTGGTTGACTGCTAAAATGTTTAAATTTATTAAAAACTGTATAAGACAATATGTAAATTATGATCGAAATGAATGTTTATTTTACATACTTAAACTGTGTTTCAACCATCGCACAGTGATGATACAACTCATCATCGTATGACGAATCGAACAGTTGACCCCTCTCCATTTCTTCACAAACTTTAGACAACTCCTGATTTAATTCGCTATTGAATAGTTCCGCATTCTCTTCCATGATTGTGGAGAAAAAAGCACTGGTGCACACTTCACTGAAGTTTTCCCTTCCTCTTTTTTATTTTTGATTCAGCTTCAAAAAAATGATCAATCGATTGCGATTTTCTTTTTCCACCATCGCATGTGTTATTATTAATGACGAGGTTATCACTCTCTTCTTGAGGGGAGAGTGGCGAGTAGTAATACTGTTTATAGGTATCTTCATCGAAGCTCAATGATTTCTGCAACAACACAGTTATCATGTTAATATCAATTTGTTAACACTTAATCATAAAAGTTAAAAAAGTTAAAGTTACAGCCTATTAAAGTCCACTGCTGAACATAGGCCTCCTCTCATTTCTGAGAGGGTTTTAGAGCAAGGAAATGTCCGCCGCGCTCCCTCAATGTGTGTTGGCGAACTTCACATGCCTTCGAAATTTTCTCAGACATGCAGGTTTCCTCACGATGTTTTCCTTCACCACCAAGCACGTGGTAATAAGCACTTAAAATTGCTATTAACAATTTAATTGGTGCTGGCGGGGATCGAACCCGGGTCGCGTACTGTGAAATTTACAGCTAGCGCTAACCATCTGAGTTACCACGGCTTAATCATATACATACACAATATTTAAATAAAATAATACACACACATGAAAATAACAGAAAAAAAGTAATTTAGTCAATAGAATAAACACTTACATCCATAGCCTTTGGTGTATTGAAGTAACACAAATGTACTATTGATAGATCCACTGTAGCCAAACGACCGTACACTAACTCGATGACTGCATTTGTTGGTCTTATATACCACCAGTACGTAAAAATTCTAATCTAAAGTATTTCCGTAATGAGTTGATAATTACTTTATGCGTCAACCAGTTTATCTCACATTTCCGTTGCCTATCTCAACATTTCTTCGTATTGTGTTTTGTTTGGTGATCAATGACTCAAGTACGATTTGTATAACACAAAAATGCAATTTAATATTTAGAAACATATCAGTTTATCTCACATTTCCGTTGCCTATCTCAACATTTCTTCGTATTGTGTTTTGTTTGGTGATCAATGACTCAAGTACGATTTGTATATCACAAAAATGCAATTTAATATGTAGAAATCACTATAATTGACCATTCCTATGTTATTCATTGAGTAGCTAGGTACTGTAATAATCTACTAATAGCAGTAATATCATGGATACACTAGATGTACAACAACATCTGAAAAAGATTCACCCCAGTCTAGAAAATAATGTTTATGCAGCTAATAGACTGCCTATGTATACCCACGTACCAACGTATATAATATGTAATTTGGATACAGATGATAGACCAGGTTCACATTGGGTAGCTTTATATATCGATACGAATGACGTCGGTCAATATTTTGATTCATATGGACGATCACCTGTACGATATCATCTAGAGTTTTTAAAAAGGAATTGTAAAAGATGGAACTGGAATGTTGATAGGATTCAGAATGAGTGGACTTCAGTTTGTGGCGAATATTGCTTAATGTATTTACTATATAAGTTTCAAGGATGTTCAATACATAGTTTTACGAGTATATTTACAAGGAACACATTGTACAACGATATTTTAGTGGATGAGATGTTTCGTTCCTATTTTATAGATAATAATTAATAAGATTTTGTATTTTATAAATAAAAATTGTAACAAAATTATGTAATGTGTTTTATTGATGATTCAGATTAGCGTTGTATAAACAAAGAATTATAATAAACAATAGCACTGATATAGTCGACGCACACGCTGCAATGAAGGTGATTAAGGAACAATAGAACAATAGAAATAGGAACAACAATGGGACGCTAATGACGGTGGAGGCCCTTACCGGATATCAATTAGATATTAGCTAATTGATCTACACATCTCCGGAACCGTGCATTCTACACAAAAATGGACCGCGGATTCGTGATCAGAGCATGCCAAAACCTTTTTTTTTTTTTTTTTTTTTTTTTAGGATCGGGCGTCGATGAACGTCGTTGAACCACGTCTGACTCAGGTGGTCTAGAAGTGGTACAACTACACTACTGATGCCAATTGGCCACATCGAAGCTGCTACTTGACTCCATTGAACTTTTTTTGTGGGGAGCCGTTAAAAACAAGTGTTACGCTATCCATCCAGAGATGATTCGACAATCATGTCGTCACGTGAAACATGGAATCGAAGTTGCCATTGACGAAATAGAATCCCAAACAATCGAAAATGTACTGAAAAATTGGACTGATCGAATGGGGTATTGTAAGGCTAGCCGTGACAGTCATTTGAATGATGCTGTCTTCCATTCCTATGGAAAGGTTCAATCTTTTTAATAAACTCATAATTTTGAAAAAATATTCATATTTTTTTTATAGCTGATTCAAATTCCAAATCTTAAATGGCTCACCCCTTATTAAGGGCTATATTGTGGAAAGAGAAGTGAAATCTGGTGTATTTTGTAGGGGCGGCACTGGCAGTACGGGTACGTCGTCCGGGTCGAGCGCGGCGGCGAGCGAACGCGCGGAGGCCGAGGTGGCGGTGGAGCAGGCGTGGGCCGAACTCGCCGCCGTCGAGCGCGAGCAGGAGGCCGCCAGGACAGAGCGTGCGCGCGTCGAGCGCCAGCTCGAGCAAGTGCGACTTCGCGGCGCTCAGCTCGAACAGGTATAGCCGGCTATTTTCTCTTCATAATCTAATAACGTTGTGCTTCTTGCTAGTTATTCCCAAGTCACAAATTTACTTTCAATAAGTATTAAATGGCAGCGGTATGGAACCGGCACGTGGTCAAACGCTCAGGAAGTCGATGGATGTAGATGGGACAGGACCATGCTTTGTGGCACTTCTAGGGCTAAAATCAGTGGACTTGTGAAGGGCTGTAGTGATGATGATAATGATGATGAAATGTTATGTTTTGAATACTAGGTAGTAGAAAAGTATTTTACGTACGTAAGTATGTGTAAACTTAAATGTTCTATTCTAGCAGCCTACACAATTCTCTACTGGATATAGATTTAAGAATGCGTCAAAAGACGCATTTTTAGAATGATTTGTCCATACTTAGGTACTCAACCAGTCGCCTGGGTAAAAATAGATCGACCACAGAACACTATCTTATCCCTAAAGTTTAACTTTCGTACTGGTAATGGTGCTTCTTACCATCGGTGTGTTGAATTGGCGTTTTTAGCAAAGTTTTTATAAGAAAAATATACGTGACGTAAGAAAATTCGTCACTTCATCTCATCCCTTGACTCACGTAGGTAAAAGTTGACAAGGATAGGTCAATATGCAGCTTAAAATTGTGCTATCGAAGTTTGCGAACTACTCTTTGTATTATTTTATATTGTAATAACAACACGCTTTGGTTAAAAACAATAACTTTTCCGCTGGGAGATCGCTCAGTCTCCATGAATGGTTAATTTAAATGAAATATACACATATTAAAGTACATAATATTTTTAGTATTATTTATACGTGGATATGTAAGAGCCGCAATGTAGCTGTATTATTGCCGAGGAAGCACCGCTCTTTAGAATATCTAATTACGTAATAGAGTGGTAGAGAGTAGAGACTCTTTCTACTCTTTCCATCTTGGTCGACGACAATGCCTCTGCATTTCAATTTTTAAACAAGGATAGACCATTTATACCATGTTATCTTTTTTATCACTTTACTCACATCATATCACTAATCACAGTTGTTATATTTTATCTTGTATTGTATTTTCAGTTTCCGTCTAATTTTAATCCATACTCGACGGACTTTTATTCGCATTGTTATAGTACAAACTATTTGGGCGAATTGACTACCATAGGCTCGCTATAGATACAAGCCCTCTATGTAGGACAGGATTACCTATTCGCTCACTCTCATAGTGGTACGATACGGACGGCCCTGGTCGCCTCACTGGAAAAAAACAGTCGCAGAACCAACGCCTTCACCAGCTTTCCGAGGCACAAAGATGCACAGCCAACATCCTGACTCCGGGCTGCTACTGAGCCCGATAACTAATTTTTGGGCTGACCTGGGACCTCATAATCAGCAGTCGCGCTAACGACCGTTAGACCAACGGGGCAGTTACTAACTCACTAAGCACATTTGAGAAGTTTGTCATCAATACAGCGCGTCACACGATGATGACTCGCATTGCAGGAGCTGCCCGCGCACATCGGCAACGGGCCGGAGCGCGAGGTGCTGGCGCTGGTGTGCCGCGTGCACGAGCTGGAGGCGGACAAGCTGGCGCTGCAGGGCGAGCGGGCGGCGCGCGCGCACGACCTGCGCCGCCGCGACCTTGCGCTGCAGCGCCGCGACGCGCAGCGCCGCCTCTCCGACGAGATCATCACGCGCCAGCGCCGCGCGCTCGAAGGTACGTCGCGCGTCGCCAGATAACTGTTCGGCTGCTTGAAGCACCATGCGCTGAAAGGTAGGTCACCAGCTCACTGTATGACTGGCCGCAGCGCCTTACGCTGGGAGACACGTCGCCAGATTACTGTGCGACCGCTCGCAGCGCCTTACGCTGGGAGGTCCGTCGCTAGCTCACTGTGCGACTGCCCGCCGTGCCTTACGCTGGAAGGTACGTCGCCAACTCAATGTGGGGGACTGCCTACAGCACCGCGTACTGCAAGGTACGTCGCCAGCTCTCCGTGCGACCTACCTGCCTGATATGGATAGTTAGGTTCATTAATTATGTCCTCCTGGTTAAATTTCAACGATGTGTATCGTGTCGCAGTGACGCCTCACCATCGAAATCATCTCTCAACTCTAGAATGTATTTATTGGGTGCAACCGAAATTGGTTATGAGTAAATCATCATCAACGTTCATCATATTTTTATCATCATTTCAGTCCATCGCAAGTCCACCACTTAAAATCGGCTTTTCCAACGACTGACACAAAGGTCCTTAGCCATCTGTACCAATGGACTTTATACACGGCTGGTACTTTTCTTTCCAACCGGTTGTCGGTTCTTCAAACATGGCCGGCCCAATGTCACTTTAACTTTTTGATCCGTTGGGTTGTGTTAGTAGTGTCAACTTTGGCGCGTGTTAAATATTATTTACCGCATATCATTCATTTTTGTATACGGCACACTCCCAAAGAAATGAGAAGTGGCAGCGTAAAAATATCCGCTAGTATTAAGTTACCGTAAGAGGCGATAGAGGGAAACCGAAACAGGAGATAGGCCCCAGCATCTTTCTGATAACAACTCAATAATAATTATAACAAAAACTTCGGTCGAAAACCTGCCTGCTTTAATTATATAAATGCTATTTCCCAAGCGTGCCACCCATGGCAAATAACATTTAATAGGTCTTTACATGTGAAATTGCCGTTCTGCATTACTGGCCATGTTAAATTTAAATAATTTTTGTTTGGCTAAGAATTCTAACTTCAAATTAATTTTATTTTAAAAGCATGAAATTCTTTTTTTGAAAATTAGTAATGTGATTAGCGTTAGGTTTTCATTTAATCGCATTTGAATCTTTTTCGTCATCATGGATACGTTAAATATTCGAGTAATTATGGAATATGAGTACCGTCGTGGCAGCACAAGCGGCACGCAACATCCACGACGTTTACGGAGCAAATACTACAAACGAACGCACCACCTGTTATTTGTTAGCCCGCTTCCGTTCTGGAAATTTCGACCTGAAAAATGAACCCCGTGGTCGTCCGCAAACTTTGGTCGACATTGACGAATTAAAGGTGATTGTGGAAGCTGATGATACTGAATCTACGGCTGAATTAGCAGCAGCTTTCGACATTAGCATTAATCTGGCTTTTGTTTACTTTTGATGGCAATGAATGATAAAATACGACTTATTCGAAATTATACATAAATGGCAGTTTAAAAAAACTAATGAGGCTCTTTTATATTTTAGAGTTGGGCGTAGGAATAGAACCGGAATTAGGGCAATTGTACGAGTTGTACCAGCAAGAAATCCATGCTTCGACCTACACCGAAAGTAACGATGTTTACACTCCGCCGTATCTTTTGCCGCCTATATCTGCCAGGTGAGTCCACAATTATATTTGTTTTTATCCATGGAATTCAAATATAGCAATCTAGTGTATTTTTATACGTGGTAAAGCTATGAAGCATATTATGTTTGTAGCACGAATGGGTTTATTCGACCGGGGCACGATTCATACTTGAACGAATTGCAGACGTTTTTACTGGAAACGAGGCATTCCATGATTGTAATCAAGGGTAAACTCATTGCATTCTGATTGTATTGTTACACCACAGATTTTTATTTGGTAAACGCTGCAACCTACTTTTAGCCGCACGTCGCGTGTATTTATATTTACTTAATTAATTGCAATCTCACAATACGTCAAGTACGTCAACAACCGTCCTTCTAAACACCAACTACTCAAGGAAAGATTTGCCACTCTAACTTTATAACTATTTTACTTTTATTAAACTTTTAACTTTGGTGAGCTTTTCCTTTTGGCGTACTCATTAACTAACTACAACTCTACTTCTTGAAATTGTGTGGCCTTACAAACCATACACTGATTATTAATCGAGAATAGAAGTAGGTGCCTAAGGAAAACAGCATCCACTTACTTATCAGGTGAACTGTGTGCTATCTGTCATCCATATTCTATAAAAAAAAAATGGTATTATCGTTTTGAAATCAAAAGAATTCAAACTACAAAGTAACTTCTGACACAGGGACACTAATTCCGATTTCATAAAAGTATTTTTTTCAATCTTTAAAACACTCGGGTAAAGTTAAAGACGATAAAGTTATTTAAAAATAAAGTAAACAAACATAAATTTTACTTTGCTTATTGGATGCGACGAAGACACAGCCCGTAGCGGGCCTAAAGCGTGTTGGCAGATTTCACATGTCTTCGAAATATTTTTTTAGTTTCTTTGACATGCAGCTTTTCTCATGATGTTTTCCTTCACAGCCGAGCACGTGGTAAATCGGCACTTAAAATTGCAATTAATAATATTATTGGTTCCGGCTATCGATATATATGTACTACGTACTAGATTGCGCATTCCGAACATACACTATGTTCAACTGAACTGTACTGCAATCCGTACAGTGTGTCATTTAGTGTGGTTTCAATCTACTATTTAGTCTGTGGTTTCAATATACATGCATTGTGGAGCGGCGCTAATAATACAAGTTTTTAAATTAAAGTTTAAGCCTAGACGTAAATAACAATTCAGTAGTCAAGTAAGTAAAATTATTTGTTGTTCATGTGAATAAATAGGTAATAATATCGTAATATTACAAAAGAAAAAAACATGAAAAAATATATTTCTTTATATAAACTCAGCGCGCAGGCGCAACGCGCTTAAACCAACTGCGCATGCGCGACTTTACTAACTCCCGCGCATGCGCGAAGACATAGAGTAGTGCACATTTTTTGTTTAGAAAGACTTTTCTAGTACTAGTACATATAGCTCAATGGTTCCGGCGGTTGGACCCGAGTTGCTCGCTTACTGTACAGCGAGCGCTTGGCACCTGAGCTGTAGGTAAACAACTAATTTAAAATAATTATTATTATCCAAACTATGTTGAAACCTGTAAAAACATTTTTCACTCTTCCCGTCTTACTGTCGTTTGTTTTAAGAATGTTAACCGTCTTTTATTCGCAAAGGATAATCTTATCACGTAGACTAATGACCTGCGCCAATGCGATAGACTTTCCGAACAATGCCCACCCAAATGTATGAATTCGGATGTCAATTTGGATGACGCTATGCATACTAACTGGTTACATGCGTGGCCTTACTGCAGTTGTGATCAGAAAACAAATAAACATCTAGAAAGAAAAAAAAGCGTTAATCAGTATGGCGCCAACTTGATCATTATCCCTTAACCTTCGTGAATGGCCAATAGCGTCGTGTGTGAATTTATAATTTCACTTGAATTATAAACGATTGATATTCTTAGCCAGTAGTATTGTTGAGCTTAAGTAAATCATTCATGAGTTTTAAATTATATGTAATCCGCACGTAAAATTATTATTATTTATAATATAAACAGAAATGATTTTTTTTTATTTGCAATTGTTAAAATTTAAAACAGCAAAACCGATTTTAAAAATTCCTTCACCTATAGAAAGATGATTACATTCGCTTAGAAATTAACCTTTATCCAGATAAATAATGTTATAATTAAGGTTGATGGTGTAGATGTAAATTCCAATTCGAACTATTCGTATCTTTTGTTTAAAAATTACAACAAATATAAAAATGTTCAACGCAAGGAATACGAGTATGCCACGGTGTGACACCAAATATGTACTAGGGGATGCCCCTATTGCCAGTCTTATAGTGCCAATTTCAACTTTAAAAATTCGTAGGTACTATTTTAATTAGAGTACAATATTTTTAAATGCTTGTTTGAATTGATAGATTTTTATCCAAAAAATGTAATTACCATTCATTAACAATCATATTATTTCAAGAACAATTTCAAAAACACGATAAACAAAAAAATGCCGAGTACGATACGGCCGACGTATCTTGGCGAGTCCGACCTTCGCGCAGAAGGTTGCGCAATAGCTTTTTTAAGGAACAAAATGGTGGCATGAGGCGACGTACGGGGGGCGGTGGTCTAGGCTAGAGATTGACCATAAGTAAACACAATCGACCCTTTAGTCATAAAATATCGCAATCGATTAGTTTTATTTAGAAGTTATTGATTTTTGTTTATATAAGATATTAAACGAAATAGATTTACAAATATAGTGAATTTTGTTGATAATAAACAAGATTTCGACTTAAATAAAAAAAAAAAACTAAAAACATATTATTTTCTCAGCTGAAAGACATAATGTACTTAAATATCAATTATCTATTAACGTCTTCTTGAGTAACGACTATTTGAGAAAATTTAGAACCTCCTTATAAATTGCAAATAAATATATTTTTATGTCTTAATTTTAATCGATTTGAATAAAAATCGATTAAACAACACCCTCAGGCACGCGTGTTGGACATCCCTTTCTGGTTACTTCGTAAAGCTTCGTGCTTATTCGGCAATGCTCGGTACACGGTAATATTTCTCAGTCACACGTTAGCATTGGTGTCGTGTTCGTGTCGCTATCTCTGTCTTGAGCACAGTCGGTTACAAAAGTTTTCGTTGTTATTGTTGTTTGTTTTTATTAATAGTGTTAAGTTTGTTTTGTTTGTTTTATTTGTTTTATTTGTTTTATTTGCAAGTGTCAGTTAGCACTTATATTATTCGCCAAACATGCCACCAAAACATAACAGTGTGTTAAATCGCCAGGCGAGAAAAATTATTTACGATTTAACGCAATATATGAAAAAAGAAAAAGAAGAAGGCGTAAAAGATGTCGATAAAGTTTATTTAAGAGTTGCTAACGCAACTGGTGTGTCCCAACGCACAGTACAGCGGATCGCAACTGAAGGCAATATTTCGGGCTTACTTTCAGTATTCCGCACGCCTGGTAAAAAAAGGTCTAGATCAAAACCTATTACTGATATGGATAATTTTGACCAGGGAGTAGTAAAAAGATGCATACACAACTTCCACAAAACTGAAAAAGAAATGCCGACGATAAACAAATTACTAGCGAAACTCAAACGGGATATAAATTTTCAAGGTGGTAAAACGAGCTTAAAGACAATTATCAAAAACTTGGGTTTCAAGTGGCGAAAGACCGAAACCAATAGAATGGTTCTTATAGAGAAGACCGACATTCGCCTGAAAAGGATCTTGTACTTGAAGGCAATGAAAAAATACAGGGACGAAGGGCGACCAATTGTATTCACTGACGAGTCGTATGCCCACTCATCACATACAAAAGGTAAGGCGTGGTCAGATGGTTCCGCTCAAGGACTAAAGCGCCCGATATCAAAAGGTCAGCGGATAGTGATGGTACACGCTGGGTCAGAAGCAGGGTTTGTTCCGAACGCGCTACTAATGTTCAAATCTGGCAGCAAAACCGGAGACTATCATGATGACATGAATTTCAAAAATTATGAGAAATGGTTACGGACCCAACTGATTCCAAATTTGAGCCCTAACTCGGTGGTGGTTATCGATAATGCTCCGTACCACAACAAATTAATGGATCCTGCCCCTACATCTAATGACAAGAAGGCAAAAATGGAATCGTGGTTATTAGAAAAGGGTATACCATATGAAAAGGACATGCGTAAACCACAACTTTACGATCTAATAAAAAAAAACAAAGACGTGAATAAAAAATACGTAATAGATGAAATGTTTAAACAAAACAACCACGATGTCCTTCGTTTACCCCCATATCATCCCGATTTAAACCCCATCGAGATGGTGTGGGCTGCCATTAAAGGGCACGTAGCCGCTAAAAACGTCGACTGGAACGTAACCCGGACAATGGAGCTCATACAAGAAAAAGTAAATTTAATGGGTCAGAATGAATGGAGTGCTTTATGCAGAAAAGTGCAAGAGGTCGAACATGACTATAGGAAGAGCGACCATATTATTGACGAAATGACGGATCAATTATTCATCATTAATACAGCTTCAGATTCAGAAAGTGAGTCTGAAAGTGAGAGCGACGATTACGAAGATGAACCTATGCCAAGTACCTCACATGGTACACAAGGGGCCGACGACTTTATGTTAGGAATTTCCCCCCTCAGCGACAGTGATTAAATAATAATAAGTGTAAATAAATAAAAAGTATTAAATGTAAATAATATTGTATGTGTTTGTGATAAAATCTGCCCCTATCGAAAGGTGAGGTATCAAAATTGAATCTTTAATTTATAATGTCTCCAAAGTGTTTTGATATTTTTGGTCACTGTATTAGGGAAATTTTATTTGTACATTGGTATATATAAAAAAATGACAATAACAGTTTTCTTCACGAGTGTTCATGCGCTAAACTTCGCAGAGCCTATATTCAGACTCGCCAAGATACGTCGGCCGTATTATAGCTCTAATTCCAACCATCCTGTACCGAATGTCCTTATGTCAGCTTGGCATAGGGTTATGTCATAGAGATATATACCTATGGAGAGGGCATATTCCAGTATAGAAATAGTTATACAAATATCTATAATATCGACACACACTTGTCAAAAACAATTTTGTCTCTTTTTAACAAAGCAGTTGCTGCAATAGAAAAGAGAGACAACTACAGTTTGTAAAGTGCTTATTTTGGTAATAGTTTTGTGTGACGTCATTAGCTCATCCATGCGTGACTTCTGCATGAATTCTCTATCTACGGTCGCCATGTTATGCCCCAAGTTTTGTGGTAGATCTACTGTCAAAAAGCAGTGAAATAGTGTCGTTCACTCTTATCTATGATGTCGTATATAAATTATTTTAATAAATTAATTTTGTTCAGAAATTAATATATTATAATAATAATAATAATAGTTTATAAATCCTGGATATCATATTTCATCCATCGTTTCATATCATGCCAGATTTTCGAATTTTAAATGAACAAACTTAATCTACCTGCGAAAAATAATAATATTTTTCATTTAAAATCTGAATAAAAAAATTCAATATGATATCCAGCAGGATCGAACATGCTTGTATAACTTACCATTTGTGATCAATTATGTGCAGAACGTTCCTATATAGTATATACCAATTAATAATAAATAAATATTGATTTTTAAAATAGTTTATTTAATTTTCACTCAAATAATCATTATTATTTTATATTAAAAATACTATAATATGGGATTATAATATGGAATCAAGGATCTCCATCCCATCTCCGTACACATGCAAAAATATTCATTTTCCCACTACTATGACAATATTCATTTTTATTATTAATAATAATAATAATAATAATTTATTTGATACAGACAACACAGATCCATTACAAAATTAAAATTAAAATTTTTAGAACTATATCTTAAATTTTAATTATAATTATTGGTTAATCAATGATATTATTACATTTTATTAATTACATTTTAATAAGTTTGACCATCTACTAAAAATTTCACTACATGCATACATATTACAAATAATTTTGATGAGATTATTCTGCGACCCAAAAACAAAACTTCTAAATCGCGCGATACGGTGACGGATCAACGCATCCAAACCAACGACACGGGTCTCTGCGAACATCTGAGACGCGCTACAATATCTTTATTGTGTGCGTTATAACTTTTTGACTTTGTTCATACTTCATATTCATATAAAACAAAACGTGTGTATGTACTTATGTGCGCACGTAAGAAGTTATACTTCTTTAGCGTAACAAAACAAAAATAACTAAAATAAAACACATTTTATACATTCATATGTATTTGAATAACTACCTCGAATATAATTATCAGTTCTCAAAAAAACTTAATTGATAGACAATTACCAACTGAAGTTGTTTTCTCAAACGCGCCAAAAGAAATATAACTTAACAAAACTTGAGTAAGCACTTAGCACACTCAGAAAATTGTTTAAAACAAGTTGCAAGTTAGCTGCCCGCATACTTAACTCATAGTTTGACTGTGTACTTAACACAAAAAATCTGTAGCAGAGTATGTATTGCGTAAGTGTACATATTATGCGGTGAAGCCTGGTGAAGCAGTTTAAGCAAAATTTAAGGGATAGCAATCCAAAACTAATTTAACAACCCAACAATATCCATTGCTTCATGTGATTGAAAAATTCGTTTGCTCGACAACAAAAACCATGCAATGGATGTTGGTAAACTGTCAAATTGGTATGGTTTGCCATTTTAGGTGTGTTACGCAATTAGGCTACGGATTTATTTACGGATTTATTTTTTTCTATAATTATATGAAATAAGAACAAACTCATATTAGTAACAATATCGATATCAGCTGCCCATATTGCTGAGTTACAACCCTATAAAAGGCGGCCATTTTAAGCGCCAGATTTGTTTAGGTAGTCACGCTAATTCTGTAGGTATACCCAGTCCATATACTTCTAAGTCAGTGGGTTATATCCTTTGTGTTTTTGGTAGGTTATCTATTGTAGGTAATTGTAATTAAGACCACTAGAAACCTTATTTTTAAATTAAAAAGTGGAAAAGGCTGGCATTGGGGGCGGGGCTCGTTTTAAGGGCATCCACATACATATTTGTACTTTAAACGAAACAGATACTGTTACTTTCCATAATAATTTTGTAAAATATCCTGACCGGGTGACAGACAGCAGTGTCCAAGGTGCGAGACGTCTGGTACTGCGATATTGACGAATAAGACAAATCATCCTTAGGTACAATGAGAGAGGTCCATGTTTAGTGGGCTTCTAGGAAATGATGATGAAGAAGAATAGGAAGATTAAAAGAAAATGTTTTTACAGCACTATTTCAGATGTGAGGTGGTCGGGAAGCTCGAGTGGGTCGGCTCGTGGCTCGAGCTCGGGCTCGGGCGGCACTCTGCCTTTCGACGCGCGCCTCCCGCGTCTGGCGCCCACACCGCGTCCGCGCACTAGGTACAGGTTAGTGACCCTTATCTTTCAGAAAATTGAGAGGAAGATAGAACAAAATATTTCATTCATACCACACAAGCCGATAACGGAAACAAAAAAAAAACCACTTACTGGTGTGGCAAATGTGCACATTCTTTGACAGATATTGATTGTTCATTATAAAAAAAAAATTATTGACAATTACGAGGGTGACACTGAAAGTTCTTAAAAAATAAAAACTGAACAAACTAGCAAGTTATTAGTTTTATTATATCGTTTCAAAATAGTGTCCATTTACATCAATATATCGCTGCATTCGATGGAACCACTGAGAAAAGCATTTTGAAACGCAGCCACTGCTTCCTCGGCGTCCATAAAATGTTTTCCTCGAAGTTTTTCTTTTATTTTCGGAAATAAATAAAAAACCCAATGTGCGAGGACGGGGCTATAGGGCGGGTGACCCAGTAGTTTCACGTCTGACGTCGCCAAGTAGTCGATTGGCGGTGTGCGACGAGGCGTTGTCGTGGTGAAGGAGGATACTATTGCGAGGTCGTTTCTCCCGAACTTTTTCCAAGACAAGTGGCAAACAATTGCTACTGCACCACTCTGCAGAAACTGTTTTTGATCATCTAAAACAATTGTTGCGTAATGACCTGTCCTTCCGAAGAATGAAGTCACCATATTTTTTTCCCACGCTTCGACCTCTCTTCACTTTAGTTGGCAACTCCTCGAAAGGAAACACCCAGACAGCAGACTGTCTCTTAGTTTCAGGATCATAACAATAAATCCAGCTTTCGTCACCCGTAAGTATATCGAACACAGCATTTGAGTCACCTCCGTTAATTCTTTGAACCATTTCACGACACCAATCAACACGACGGAGTTTTTGGGCCTCTGTCAAATTATAAGGTATCCACTGGGCACAAAGCTCCCGGACCGCTAAATGTTCATAGAGGATTTTATGCACTTGACTCATACCGATTCCTAAGCTTGTCCGAATCTGCTGATAAGTCACTCTTTTGTCAGACTATCATACGCCGCACAACACTGATGTTATCTTCAGTCGTCGCCGTAGAAAAGCCGTCCCTCACGCAGATCATCGGTGAGATTAGTGCGACCACGTTTAACTCATTAAACCAGTTGTAAACAGTGGCACGAGACGGGTCTTCATGGTGAAAGGCCCATCGAAGTCTATCATAACTTTCTTGTTGACTTAAATGACATCGAAAGTCATAAAAAACCATTGTACGAAAATTTTCTCGCGTTAAATTCATGCTGACGTGACACAGACAATTTCAATTTGCCGTCTAATCGTAAACAAATGACAAATTAATAAATTACATATACAATAATATTGGCAAAGAGTTCCATTTTCAAAATTTGAACTTATTTTTTTATTATATCGTTTACAAGTGGCCAGTTCTAAAAACTTTCAGTGTCGCCCTCGTATGATGATATGAAATCCAAGTAGATAGTACATATCAGACATTACAATAAAGAATTTCTTTATTTCTTAGAGGGTTAATTTTCAAAGAGTAACCAAATTTTAAAGAAAGTTCTAATATATAAATAATGATATACCGTTATTGCAGTTTTAGAAAATACGAGTAAATAAGGCTTCTACTTTTATTTGAAATTATCCCAAATTGAATGTGATTTATTGATGCCCAAAATTTGTGATAACGTTTTTGCCTACCGATCAACCCTTACAAAAATGTGCGTGCGCAGTAAAATCAGTTAAAATAATGCATTGCCACGCATTTTGTATTTAAAAGATAAAAAGGACAGAATGTTTGAGATTTTTTTAATTAATTTTTCTTTACCGTTTGCCTATATTACTTACTCCGATCCTTCTCTGCAAATTTGGCCGGTTATAGCAAAATAAGCCAGTATATGTAGAACAGTTACTCTACTCTTTGATTTTTTGTGCTTTTATATTCATACTCGTACTCCAACCACAAGGTGATATAGTTTATCTGTGCTTACTAACCTTTAGCCTATTTTTGTCGCCAAGCAGCTGTGCATCCACTGCTGCATTTCGGCTCCAAGGACATAAATGAAATAAAAAAGAATACGAAACGTATCATCTTAATCCTTAAGAATGACAACGTATCTGTGAACTTTTTTGTTTGCATTTGATCAGGTATCCATAGACTGCGGTAACCACTTACGTGAACAGTTAGCTCTTTCGTTGTACTATAAAAATATAAAACCTCAAACTAGCGACGAAGTCGAAAAACGTATGATACTGCAATCATTATACCTACCATTTGCTAAGTATGGTGATTACAGTATATACACAGTGGAATCATTTGCCGGCGTCATCTTTCCCTCTGAATACAATCTCGGCCGCCGTCTTCAAGGCAAGAGTGAATAGGTTTTGTTTTTTTGTAATCTTTATATATAAAAATTACGTGTCACATAGTTTGTCCGCGATGAACTCCTAAACCATTGAACTGATTTCAATAAAATTTTGCACACTGTGTGCAGTTTGGTCCAACTTGAGAGATAGGGTGCTTTCTATCCCGATAAGTGGCCTTCAATATTTTTTTATTGCAAATTTAAGGATGTTTTCATAGGAAGGGTCGTCGGAAAGGGCAGAACAACGTCTGCCTGGCCAGCTAGTTTTTTTATAAATTGTAATTTTGGTTACCTACGCTAAGACAGTATGATTTACCATCTAGAGCTACATCACCACTTACCACCAGGTGGGATCGTGGTCAAGCACGTCAGTGCATGTAATAATTAAATTATACAAGTCATTGTATGTAATAATTAAAAATAAAATTTAGATGTCCATGTCCAGTTGAGGATAGTTTCCGGATAAAGGATGAAAACAACTTACAATTTTTTTGTATTATTTCAGCAAAGCAAGCGCATCAACTTTGAAACGATATGCGAGTGATGACAGTTTAGTAATGGCGGCACCTCGTCGGAGCGACGAGGCATCTTGAGCAAAATATCCACGGAATATGGGAGATAACTAATGTTGTTAATTGTTTACGGTTTTGTTTGTATGAAGCGACATTACTGTAATGAAAAAAAGAGATGAAGAATACAGACGGCACAAATTAATGCCAGCAAAGAGGGTATCCACGATATTTCTGCCACCAGGGCCACTAAAAAATTACTTGTACCTAATATTTGACAGATTTCATAGCTGGGAAGCTAATTTGGTAGGAAAATGTAAAAGTTAATGTTTCTTTCCGTACTATTACTTATATTTTATATTAATTAGATTAAAAATAAATAAACCAAAGCACACATATACGTAAAAGTAGAAAAATAAAAAAGAGTTTAAAATGTGCAAAAATTAAAAGAGTAAATCACTCAGGTATTATTTTGTTCATTAATATAATACTCAAGAAATTGATAAAATTTTATTTACAACTGACTTCTCAATTAAATGACTTTGTATAACAAAAAAACCTTCACCTCAGTGTCAACTAGCGACCTCTGGTGAGCGGAAGATTATTAGCCTTCGTTGTTTCTATCAACTAGCGACCTCTGGTGAGCGGAAGATTATTAGCCTTCGTTGTTTCTAAGTGTCTTAATATTGATTTCTGGTTTTTAATCCGAGAGGTCCTCCGTTTTATACGGTTACATATTCTTACGGAATAATTCAATTAAAGGTATAGGTACATTTTGACGAATAACATAGGTAGTGTAAAAAATTGAATTGATTAAACCGATAGAATTTTGGTAATTTTGAGATCGACTCAATTTTTTATCAATCACATTTATTTTATTGACAGTGTATTGAAATTTGTTATATAGTTACTAAATAGTGTAGTTAACTAGTGTTTGATATTGTCGAAGGTTCTTATTTATCATTGTTGCTTTAATAATTTACAACAATCGTAGATGTTAAAATCATTGTTGGTTGGATAAAAAATTACAATAAACTGAAGGTTCTTTTTTTGTATAATATCGCATCAAATTAGTTTTGCAATTAAATTTAAATTCATATTTATATTTTTAATGTTTTTAGTGTTTTATAATATAATTGTACGGAATGTTACAGTTTCCTAGTTTGAAATACGAATTTAGTCTACTCGATCTTTCACAATCCTCCATTAATATCTAATTAACTGCACCACAAAATAAATAGTAGTACAAGAAAAAAAAAACGTAAAATTATTTAACAAACCACAAAATATATATTTTGGTAGCCTACAACCTAAAAGCTAACAACGTTTAAAAGTTGTCAGCTGTTTTGGAGATGCATAAAACCTCGTAGTAACATTTAATTACAATGCTAATTTAAATCGTTATTATTTAGGATTTTGCTTATAAGAATTTTCGCTTATGAATGCAAAATTATAAAAAGTCAATCATTGTGCAGGAAACTATTAGTGGATGATATTAATGGAGACAAAGTGTATTCAAGTGTTGATAATTTCAACTATGATATTTTAATACGATGTAAGTTTGTTTCATTCCTGGAAACGTGCTAAGATAGTTTCTTTATAATATATTGAAAATATTATGTATGATACATATATCTATGTATTTTTATTGAATAAAGGTAATGATTGCGTAGAAATTGTTTATTTATTTATTAGTGACGATATATCGATATTTATAACGCGATAATTACCGATACTGTTTAATTAGATCGATATGATAAATATCGACTCTTTTTTCACTTGGCTATCCCTATCAACATGTGGTGTAGTAGATAAAATAATTTAATAAATTACTTTGACTTTGCTTTTTTCGTACTGTCTCAAATTATAACTAAAGTCGCTTTTCCATTTTATAGTAAACAAGATTTTTATTATTCAAAAATATCTACAATTTGCTTTGATTGAGATTTTTCTGGGGGTTCCCAATTGTCGCTTTCTATGGCACCCAAGGGACGAAATGGGGTAATATATTCTCTTATGTCGGCAACACACAGCAAAATCTACCACCGTACCATATAATACCACCAATCGATAATTCGTGATCGATATCGATAGTTGAGGATGATGACGTTTTCGAACGCAAGTCTGGAGTGGTGGTAACTTAAGACAAGCCATCTCCCCATTTCGTCCCGTAGGTGTCGTAAGAGGAGACTATGAGAAATACCAGAAAATCTTATGGCTTCTTATAAATTACTTAACCGGTGTACTTAGGGGCCATTCATTAATTATGTGAGGCTCCCGATGTAAAGGGGTTAAAAACTCTACACACCCTTATCTTGCTGGTAGGATGGGAGGGGGGGGGGGAGTAAACCCCATTCTTACGTAATGTTTTGTAAGTCTCAATTTAATATTAGAAATCTAATTCCATTTCTATTCGTTTTCTTCATTCTATATACGTACACTTCGATTTACATCTTATTTTACAAATGTTTATTGTTTATTAAAATTTATAAATTGTCTTCATTTTTATCAATTTTAAGTAATATAAATAATAATTATAGTACATACATTCTTCCCGTGTATTAATCTTATTTTCAACCGGCTTCATAAAAGGAGGAGGTTCTCAATACGTTGGATTCTTTTTTTATGATGTTCACCGATTACCCAAAGATACCTGAATCGATTTGGAAAATTCTTGCACACAGTCCACCTGATGGTAAGTGGTTGCTGTGGCCCATAGACATCTGCGTCTATCCTCAACAAAGAATCAAAATGCAGATGCGTTGTCACCCGTGAGGGCTAAGATGGAATGCCTCTTTTCCAGTAAAACGGGTCTCCGGTTCTCTACACTCACTATACGAAACACAGCAGCGTTAAGTTGCTATTTGACGCTGGTATTCTGTAAGAGCGTGGTCCTTCCCCGGTCGAGCCGACCCATTCGTGCTACAACTATACTACTAATATAGCTGCAGCATGGCTCTACTACGTAAAAAAAAACTTTTAATTATAATAATGATATTCCAAGGACTAGATACTATCTCAACTAGTTGTCTAATAGTAATGTAATGGTAATCTATACCTGATGGTAATGAAGGAGTATACCCTAAATTATCTGTTAAAAAATAAAAATCTTTGATTTACGGCAAATTGAGTTTGTGTTTTTTTTTATAGCATCAGGGTGACAAAGGAGCACACAGTTCACATGATGGTAAGTGGTTACGAAAATAGTGAAACTGATCCTTTTCTAACAACATTTTATTATTCTGAAAAACGAGATAGAATCTTACGTAAAAGTGGGGAGGGGGGGGGGGGGGGAGAGTCAAAAGTCGCCAAAATAATCCTTACGTAATTAATGAATGGCCCCGTACAAAAATATTCAGGTCACGTCTGGTACTGCGATCGTCAATCGGCCTTCTACGCGTGATGATTAAGGTATATCCGTCCTACAACGGGAGCGATCCAACTCCACCAAATGACATCTATAATTAATGACGTGTATACATAGTCAGTTCGCTAAGATAGTGTCGGTACACCCTAGTGTTGCCTAAATGCAATAACAAGATGGGACTTAGCCAGTCTTGGTCTTGGTCTTGCGCCAATACACCTGGTCTCTGTATTGCGCTCCCAGTCTTCGTCTTGGTCTTAGTCTTGCAGCAAGAGTCTCGCAAGTCTCGCAATTACCTATTAGCCTATTGCTATTTATTAAACGATACTTTAGAACAAAAAATTAATATTAAAAACTGAAGGTAGCCGGGCTAACTGTGACATCGGGACGTCAAACATCTGAGTTCCCCCCGTGACCATGGGTTGCTGTAAAGCACCCGAAACGTCGGGAATTAAAATAGTAAATTAAACGCGATAAAATCCGTAAAAAATAGTTTTATTCAATCTTAGAACTACTTAACAGAGTAGGTACATTTTCAGATTGAATTAACATAGCCATAGTAAAGACCAACCAAATTAATAAATATCTAAACATCTAATTGTTTTACTATGGATTCAATTTTATCGAGCAAGAGATTCAACCTCTTGGTAGAGAGTAATTGTGTTCTGTGGATTGAACGATACAATGACTCTAGCGGTTATGTAACATATTTTTTGCCACCAAGTTTCGTTGATAAAAGTTTAAAGTTTATTAGAAACTTATGTATTTATTCGAGTATTTGCCATTCACTATCTGCGATTTGAAAATCATTCAATTCGGTCTCACTAACTTCACTCGTCATAATTTAATTTAACCAATTTATTCTGTGATATAACTTAACTAACTAGTGCTTAGTAACTATAATTTAACTAGTGTTACAAATAGCCAGGATAGTTTTCTAATGATGGTTTTAATAATATTTAATTACTAAAATTTGTATTTTTGTTTAATTATTTAGTTAATGACATTTTATTTATATTCGAGCAATTTTAATACTATTGGAATATTTTCTTTCCCATACTAGCCCTTATGATAAGTTAGGTAACAAATCCCAGTAATGTTACTTATAAGTTACAACGTTCAAATAACGTTCTTTCTGCGGGTCTGACTTGGACTCATACGTGTGCTCCGCGCGAAAGTCGCAACAAACTGATTGAAATTGCTCCAACTGGGCTACACACGCGACAGCGGCAGGGCCTATCTAGGGAGCAAGGAAGGTATTGCGCTCCTGCCGCCCTGCCACAGGGCCGACTTAAAAAATTGCCCCTGCTTGCCTAGACACATCACAATTAAGGAGGCAATTAAGGGTCATCCCCACTCCTACACCCTAGATAGCGTCTGCGGCAGGCATGTCAGTAGGCGCCTTAAAGGAATCGCAAACTTCATACAACCGCGCTGTGATAGGTATACTATAAGCTAGAGGCGCGTGTGTGCGTGAGCACTGGCGGCTCGTCACGTACAGAGAGAAACTATTTTAAACCGGCTCGGCTAGTGCTCAAACTCAGGGGTGTGTATAAAATAATATGTCAAATTTTCTTTTTTAAAGAATAATTCGTATCAAATGAAATATTATAAAGTGTAAATGTGGTTTACGTATATTTAAATCTTATCGAGGTTGCCGCAAGAGATACCGCTGATTTTGTAAATAAAGTTAATTATTTGTTTGATTTCTTTAACTCAA